TAGCATCATGGTTATTTCTGTGGATATGGGAGAATGTGTTATTAATAGCAGTCAGTTTGTTGTTGGTATATTTGCTCCCTTGTGCGTCGGTGAAGTCCGGCTGTAGTCCTGTTCTTGCGTTCAGGTCCCCGCAGATGAGCACGTTTCCCTGGGCCTGGAAGTGGCTTGTCTCTTCTTCTAATGTGGAGAACATGTCTTCGCTGTAGTAGGGGGACTCTGACGGCGGGATGTATATGGCACACAGGAATATATCTTTTCTGGATGGGAGCAGTTCCTTGTGGATTTTAAGCCAGGTGTAGTATTTGCCTTGCTTTACTGTGTTGATGTGGTTGTGGAATTGTGATTTGTACCAGATGATTTGTCCTCCTGAGTCTCTTCCGTGTCGGACTGTGTTGAGTTTTTGTGATGGTAGGATGATTTCTCTGTAGTTGGGTGGGCAGCGGGTGATGGTGTCTGCCCTGCTCCATGTCTCCTGTAGAATTATAATATCCATCTCTTTGATGCTCTTCTGAAATTCTGTGTTTGAACTCTTTAGTCCAAAGGCTGTTGATGATGGTGGCTTCTTGCTACTTTTCTGAAAGTTTTTCTCCTGAGATTATCTTCCAATGTCATAATCAAAAATCCCTCACATTTGTTTAACTAATACTTCTGCAAGAGAATCTGACATAAAAGCTTACACTGCTACGGCAATTTATTTCCAAGACAATTATATTCACCATACTGGGGGGGGTAAATGAAACCTGCTTTTATAGGACTGTTAAGATTTATAATTAATATTCATTGTAGCATTGCAATTTAATTGAATTTAACCCTATTTCTCATTACGTAAACACCAAATATTGATATATTATTAAAATGATAAAGTACTTATTGATTGATTATGGTAGTATTTCTGCAATGCCTTTAATTTATGCTGATTTAAATAATAATAATAATCACCATCACAGCTTAGGCTGGTTATAGCTTTTTTGACAGTCCCAAAAACATCGAAATGGTCCAAAAACAGGCTTAATTTGACTTTTTAATGAATTTAATGGCACTTTAAGGACGTAGTTTCGCCTTTATGATCAAGTGATCCTTCATTTTGAAACTTGATGCAGTTTATTTGAGATGGTATTACCTGTATTTAAAACTAAAGGGACATATTCCTTGCATTAAGTGTTTGTTTTTACACGAAGAGACATGGCATTTTAGAAACATGTAGCTGCTGTATTTTCAAGGTAAGGTTCAGAGAGACGAAGCAAACGTCCTGAGATAAATTTTTTTTTTTTTTTTTTCATTATTATTTTCATTTATTTATTTATTTCTACCTGTATTATTATTATTTACATAATACTGTATATTTTCTATTTCTTTTTTGGGGTTTATATTTGTTCAGTACCTTTATATTATATGTTGGAAATCAATTAAAAAAAATAAATAAATAAATAAAAACGTCCTGAGATTTCCTCCAATGGCCACGGCGAGCGGAAGCACGTGGGTAAACAGGAAGTGGTTTCGGCATTTGGCGGGTTGAGAAGAGAAGACGTCCAAAAATGGCGGGTGAGTGTGAAAACCGTCTATAATAGCGGCTGTGTTTTGTTTGTGCTGCTGTTATTAAGCGCGTGTGTTTATGTGCTGCTGTGCGCTCGAGCGGTGCAGCTGCGCGCTGGTGTCTGAGAAGCAGAGCGTTAGCTGCGGCTAAATGCTAAATGCTAATCATCACAGAGATGGACAGCACACGTGTGTTGTTTACACGCTTGTCTGATCGAGATCGCACACAGATAAGCCCTCGCACATCAGCGTGATCGGCCGGGGTGCAGCTGTGAGCAGTGTAGCGAGCGTTAGATGCGTCCATGCTTGTCTGTCTGAGGTCAGAGTATATCTATAGGATCAATAGAAGTAAAGATGCATATGTGTAGAAAGATGGAAATAACGTTACTCGTGATTAAATGGTTAACGTTATATACATGCATACACTTGAGTCTAAAAGCAGAAGACCAGTAATGCAGATTCTTCTATTTAGCATCTTATAGCATTTATTTTTTAGATGCCTGTGCATTTAAAAAACAATGATCTGCCTGATGATCATGTTGTCCCTTATGATTTGAGATGGTCCAAAGAGCAATGCTAGAAAATCAGATTTTCTGTGCAAAGAAGTCCCACATGGTCGATATGAGTTATGTTATTTAATGCAGTGACATTTAAACCCCACTCTATGCGCGTATCGTATCGTATCGTATCGTACTGTGTTATTTTCATTGTGTAGCTGATGACAGAAATGATAGTTTGGACATGTTACTTGTGCTGTTATGATTGACATGTTTCTCTGTGTCTTTCCCACAGCTGTGAATGACATGGAGAAGAAACTGGCGGAGTATAAATGCGACACTAATGAAGCTGTATGTCTGAAACTAGGTAAATCATTAATCATCGCTAGAAATTAAAAATGGTTAATAAAGCAGTAGACCGAATCTGAACATTCGGAAGTTATCATTTAGGTCTATACATTTGATAAAAATCATCTGTGGTATCTTTTTTAAAAAACATTTTTTTTAGAATGCATTTGTCCTGCAGATCAATATAATTCAACATGAAATTAACCCTATTTTTTTATTGATTGATTGCACATTTCTGGCCTTAGTTATGCATGATTCATCAATGGATGTCATTCCAAATCAAAAACAAGAAAATTTCATCAAAAACTTAACGTGCTCGTCATCTGAAATTGCTTTCGTTTTCTGGCGACGTCACAGCGGTTGTGAATAGTTCATGTTGACCAATAGCTAAACGGCTATTTATGCACTCTTTGAACAAACTCCTATTTGATTCGACTCCTTTCTGATATGTAATACCCGCCTTCATATGATATAAATTCAGTCTTTTGTCTGATGTAGTGCGGTTTCCAGAGGATCTAGATGACGAAAGCACAACATTTCACCCCGAGTACAGTCATCAGCTGTTTGGAGATGAGTATGTATCTCACACCATGGCATATAATATACTCTTGTGCATGTATGTATTTACTAGAGGTCGACCGATTCATCGGTTTTGCTGATTAATCGGCACCGATAGTTGATTGGCGGAGCTATCGGTTATCGGGAAAAATCAATGCCGGTAGTTTTCCGGGTTGTGTCCATTGCTGGAGCGGCCGAGAAGGGTCCGCTGCCATTAAACAGTACGAGAGCGGCCTCTAGAGGCGGAAATCACTAACAGCACGTGTTGTTTGTTTTGACACGTGACGCTGCGCGCTGCACAGAGCGGGGAAACGTCAAACGTGCATTTAAATGCAGCCGACAGAAAATCCTGCAGCGGAACAGAGCGCCATTCACATAGTTTTCCATTAAATTACATTATATATCATTGTTAATGTACGTAATGACTTCACCCTAGGCTATAAATTATGTATTGTGCTCTTTCTGTGGCTCTAATACAGTCTTCATGCTTCATATAGAGAGAGCTGTAATGCAGATCGCACTTTCTCTTTCCCTTTGCTCTGTTTTTTTTAAACGCAGAACTTCAAACTCATTTATGACACATTGTTCATTCTTGAAGCAAACTTATGTCCGTTTGGTGATTAAATAAACAGTTTAGACCGCTGCTGGAATTGAAAGTGACGCGTCTGGTGTGTGACTTCTCCGAGAACGCATCGCTGCGCTTTTGTCCGGTGTGTGACTTGCATATTTATTTTAAATTTTGATTAGATAATCATGCAGTGTTCTAAAATAGAAGCAAATAAAGTGTTAGAGTACACATACGATATCAATAACATGTATATAATTTTAATGCTATGGCCTTGTGTAGATATTTAAAGATGGCCATCTTTAGGCATGACTGTTGAAGTTAAAATGGTAATACTTTACAGTAAGATTCCTTTTGTAATATTAATGAAAGCTGTAAAAGTATTGTTCCTAGTGTGTTCATTTCAACATTTACTATTACTAATAGGCTATATTTTTACATTTTAAAGTTTCTTTTTTAACATTAGTAAACTATGAAATAACTTTAATGATCAATATAATAATTAATATTAATATGTTTATTCATTTACAAAGTATGGTTCAGTACTGCTACTGGTTTTTTAAAAATAGTAAAGCGCTGTTTTAGTTTTCGTTTACCATTTTAAAAACTATCGGTTGATTAATCGGTATCGGCCAGCGTGGTCCAACCTAGCTATCGGTATCGGTACAATCCACTATCGGTCGACCTCTAATATTTACTCAAATGTAATTTCTTGGCACCACTACTTTGATCCATTGCTTCGATCCTTGTGTTTTGTTTTTGCACAGTGAAGTGGCGTTTGGCTACAAAGGTCTTCAGATCCAGCTGTACTACAGTGCAGGGAACCTGAGCTCCCTGTTCAAAGTCAAGTACACGGCCAGGGTCACAGACACGTTTGACTGTGTGGAGGTATGTCATATCATCTCACTGATTGTGTTGACATGCACAGTGTTTGTAGCATACAGTCCAGTGAAAATATACATTTACATTCTCATCGCATTCTGAACAGTGTGCGCACAGGCGGAGAGCAGCATTTAGTGTCATAACAGAGAGGAATGCTGTCAGAGAGTCAGCTGACTGTAGAATCAGCAGTTATACGTCACGCCTCAGTGTGCTTTCCAGCTTACGCAGGACTCAACAGTAAGCAAGGGTAGGAGCCAGTCAATGCAGACTTTATGCTAATCCTAAATATTTGGTGTTGTTTCCACATTCTGCTAATTTAATCAAGTCAAGTCGATAACGTTATTCATCTGGCTAATATCAAT